ATTTTTTTTGGCAGTGAAGTGATTGAGAAAGCCACCTGGAGCTTGTTGCCTGCTAGATCTCCCCCTCCCCCCCGCTGGAGGAGGGGTTGGAAAGGAGTATATACTACAGGCAGACCTTGGAAAAGCAGATTATATGCTGGTCAGAGAGAGTAAAAAGGGAAGAGACATAATTAGCTCCTTTTCCTTCTGCTCTGCCAGCTTCCATGGAGGTCTTTCTCCCTCCTTCAATGAATCACTGATTTCTCGCTTCCGTTGCTGAAATAAAAAGTTCACACTTTAGCCTGCTCTTCCTTTTAAGCTTCTCAAGATTTATTGTGTCTCTTTCCCCACCCTCACTCTTCTTGTCTCAAAAGAAATCAGGGCCCTAAATGACCATTTTCTAATTGCTAACATGAGTCGTTTACTGAATCACGCGTCCTACTTCAAAGCAAAAGGGATTTTATTGGCATTGCAAAGGTTTCCTCATAAAATCTGTCTGAATATTTTGCTGTCTTTTTATTTTTATTTTTTTTTTTTAACTAATGCAGTTTCCCTTGCCAGAAAGGAACAATTTTTCCATTTTCAAGGCTATTTTAAGCGATTTTTCAAGCTATTATTTTCCTGGAGGGGCATATGTTGTTGGTTTTTCCTATGACTCCATCTCTTCTAGTGGATTTATCATTTCACATACCGAATGTTATGACAGATTCATATTTCTAGCTCGTCACTGAAMCATTAACATTCCCAATAATTAACAAGCATCTTCCATATGATGTACTAGCTTTTAACACCTGAATAAAGCATCAGAAACAGACAGGATATGAGCAGCATGCAAGATATTGTACTTTAATCACTAATTAGCATTGTTAAATACCTGTGTTGGAACACAAAAGAATGGAACTTGGATTTGCTAAAAGAAKGGAATATCAGAAAAACAAGTACCGAAACATAGTGACTAGTTCAATACATAAATCTTAAACCTTTTTGAAACAGAGGCAGTTAAATAATGCAGATCAGTGGAATGCAATAGGATAACCTCATATGCAATTCCATTTGGTATTTGGAGTAAATCTTAGTTTAAACAACAGGAAATTCAGGAAAGAACAAACAGTTCTAAATTTAGACAGATTCATTAGATTAGGATGCTAAATATATTGTTAACTTCACAACAGAAATTAGAATTTTTTTTCTACAATTATGGTGTTTATTCTGGAGAGAGTTGGTTCCTAAATTTATGTGTTCAGCTTCTGGGGGTGACATTTAAACAGCCTTAAAAATGAAACCATTTAATGTTAGAATCAATATGTTTTACGATGTTGTTTATGGTACTTCAGAGTATTTATTCTGCATGTATTTGCACTGAGTGCAAAGCATTTGAAATTTTTTTTTTTTTTTTTTTTTTGCAAATCTGATCTAGGCTTTCCTTTTGCCAAAGGCTTTTCTTCTTGTTAATTAATAAAAAAAACCCAGAGAAATAAAATCAAATGTAAAGCAAACTCCTTCTTTCTGTGAATGCCTGACAGCTTACGTATATGTCTACAAATGTTATGTCGATGTTTGAGTGCTGCCTACGTCATGAAGGATACARGACATTATTTCCAAAATTGAAGTTAATTTTGATTCCAACAGCTTAAATCATAAATAATTTCTATAACATCTTGAAGTTTTAGATTTGAAGACATTTTTCTTTTTTTTGTTTTTCTCTTTTGCCGGTCAAATGTTGGAAAATAAAGTGCATTGACATTTTAGGATCGCTGGTGGGAGATAAAAATGGTTTGGGGCTAAACAGGTATAATTAACCCTGAAAAATAGGTACCGTCTTGAATTTACTGAAGAAGAGTTCTGCTTAAGCCTGTTTCTAGCTCATGATTATCTGTATATTGATTGTAAGATTTTGGTCTTAAGAACAGAAAATTCAACATGTGCAGAATTTCATAAAAAATTTACTTCTGGCAGGTGCAACATTCAGGCTAGTACTTTAAAGTACTGCAACGCATAGAGTCTTTTTCTATCCTGTGTGATGACAAGGAGGGCATTTACAAAACAGAGTCCAAATGAAAAGCTGACATAGCTTTTTAGATTATATCTCATTCTTTTTTCTGCTTTCTGTATAGCCTTTCTTTTATAGCACAGTTGAATCCCTAAATACCCCACTACTTTGTATTGTCAGGTCACCTCTTAGGTTAGCCTGAGAAAGCCTGAGAAAAGTTCCACAGGAAAGATGCACTATTTAACGGAATTCAATCTGTCCCAATAGATTTGAATCACTAACATAAATGTATGAATGTAGATTATATCTCTGTAATGAGGCCTGAATCATTCTCAGTTACTTCAAAGGCCTGAAATTCAACCTTCCTTTTTAGCAGCAACAATCAGACCTTAATGGGTTTCTTTATTAATTGTTCCATTGCTAAGCTTGAAAAGCAGCTACCTTCAGTACAAGCACTAGACTAGAAATGGTACCTGCTGGTCAAAAACAGTGYTTCTGTTTTGCCTCTTACCACTGTAAAATTCTGTGAAATATTTCCTTCACTGMAGTTTTATAAATGGTGAATTATGTTGACACATCCAGAATGAAATTAGGAAAACACTTTCTAAAAAGAATTGTAAAAAGCAGAGAATATACTTTAAGAATYTTCTTTTTGAGCTGTTTCCTTTCTAAAGAGTGTTCTGGGAAATGAATTGCACAGATGAATTGTAATGAAAAAACAGGCTAAAAAGAATTAAAAAAAAATGTATAGCAACAATTTATGCCATGTTTTTGTCTTTTGATCAGCAAGGAGGGATATTTGGTGGTTTGTG